AGAAAAGAACAAAAGTGTGAGCAAGAGGAAAAGAAAAAGAAAGAAAGTGAACAAACCAAAGCAAAGAGAGCAAGTGAGACCGAGAGGAAAAGTGCAAGTGGAAAGAGTGAGGCCGAGAGGAAAATTGGAGAGAAAAGTGTACAAAAAGGAGAGAAAAGCAAGGGAATGAGTGTATTTGCTGAATAAATGAGGTTAAGAGTATCATGATTGCAAGGTAGCAACTACTTGTACTTATATACAAGGATGTTTACTTTTCTACTAATGACCTTAACCCCTCTTTGCCTAGTGTTGTTGTGTCTTTATTGCAGGAGTTTGAGGACCTATTTCCCGAGGAGATTCCCCATGGATTACCTTCCTTAAGAGGTATTGAGCATCAAATAGACTTCATACCCGGTTCTGCCATACCAAATCAACCTGCTTATAGAGCTAATCCCGAGGAAACAAAGGAGATACAAAGGCAAGAATGAGTTGGTGCAAAAGGGTTTTGTAAGGAAGAGTCTTAACCCATGTTCAGTTCCTGTCATCTTAGTCCCAAAGAAATATGGAACATGGTGTATGTGTGTGGACTGCCGAGCTATTACCAAAATAACAGTTAAATATAGACACCATATCCCTAGATTAGATGATATGCTTGATGAATTGCATGACTCTTGTTTGTTTTCTAAAATTGATTTAAAGAATGGCTATCATCAAATTCGCATGAAAGAGGGAGATGAATGGAAGACAACATTTAAAACTAAGTATTGATTGTATGAGTGGTTAGTAATGCCTTTTGATTTAACTAATGCACCTAGTACATTCATGAAGTTAATGAATCATGTCATGCGTGCTTTCATAGGTAAACTTGTGGTAATTTACTTTGATGATATTTTAGTTTATAGCAAAAATTTGGATGAACATGTGAAACACTTGCATGCTGTTTTTAGTGTGTTAAGAGAGCACCAATTGTATGTTAATCTTAAGAAGTGCACGTTTTGCATGGAATCTGTTGTGTTTCTTGGATTTGTTATCAGTTCGCAGGGTATTAGTGTAGATGAAGAGAAGGTAAAGGCAATAAGGGATTGGCCTACGCCTAAGAGTGCAAACAAGGTAAGAAGTTTTAATGGTTTAACAAGTTTTTATCGAAGGTTTGTTAAGGATTTTAGTTCTATTACTACACCTTTGAATGAACTTGTTAAAAAGAATGTTGTTTTTAATTGGGATGAAGTGCATGATCGAGCTTTCAAAACTTTGAAAGATAAGCTAACTAATGCACCTTTGTTGTGTTTGCCTAACTTTGATAAAGCTTTTGAGGTAGAATGTGATGCATCTGAAATTGGAATAGGGGCTGTTTTGATGCAAGATTCCAAACCAATTGCTTATTTTAGTGAAAAGCTAAGTGGAGCAGCATTGAATTATCCTACTTATGACAAGGAACTTTATGCATTAGTAAGGACTCTTCAAACATGGCAGCATACTTGTGGCCAAGGTAATTCATCATTCATTCTGATCATGAGAGCTTAAAGTTCTTGAAATCACAATGTAAGCTTAATAAAAGGCATGCTAAGTGGTTGGAGTTCATAGAAACGTTTCCTTATATGATCAGGTACAAACATGGAAAGGAAAATGTTGTTGCTGATGCATTATCTAGGAGGTACGCATTACTTACATCTTTACAAACTAAGTTACTTGGTTTTGAATTGCTTAAGGACTTATATGCTAATGATTCTGATTTTGGCCAAGTATGGAATACATGTTATAAGTGTGCGTTTAGTGATTTCTATAGGCATGAAGGATTTCTGTTTAAGAAAGATAAATTGTGTATGCCTATTTGTTCTATTCGTGAGTTACTTGTTAGAGAAACTCATGGAGGCAGTTTGATGGGGCACTTTGGTGTACAAAAGACTAGAGATATATTGCGTGAGCATTTTTATTGACCTAATATGAAGCATAATGTACAATCTGTTTGTGATAAGTGCATTACGTGTAGGCAAGCAAAATCTAAAGTTAAACCGCATGGCTTGTATACCTCTTTACCAGTGCCTAACCAACACTGGATTGATGTTTCTATGGATTTTGTTTTAGGGTTACCAACGTCTCAAAGTGGTAAGGACAACATATTTGTTGTTGTTGATCRGTTTAGTAAAATGGCTCATTTCATTGCCTGTTCTAAAACCAATGATGCAACACATATTGCTGACTTGTTCTTTAAAGAAGTTGTTCATTTGCATGGTTTGCCTAAGACAATTGTTAGTGATAGAGATGTTAAGTTCTTTTGTCATTTTTGGCGCACTTTATGGAGTAAATTAGGAACTAAACTCTTGTTTTCTACTGTTACACATCCTCAAACGGATGGTCAAACTGAAGTAGTTAATAGGACACTACTTTGTTGCATGCTATCATTCAAAAGAACTTAAGGCAGTGGGAGTGTTTGCCACATATTGAGTTTGCATATAACAGGTCTGTTCATTCTACTACTTTTTCCCTTTTTGAAGTTGTTTATGACTTTAATCCTTTAACTCCTATGGATATTTTACCTTTGCCTATTAATAAACATGTTAATCTTGATTGTAAGAAAAAAGATAGTTTTTGTGAAGGATTTACATGCCAAGGTTCGAGCTAAGATTGAAAGGAAGAATGAGCAATATGCTAAAAAAGCTAATAAGGGGCGTTTGAAGGTTGTTTTCGAACCTGGAGATTGGGTTTGGGTGCATATGCGTAAGGAAAAGTTTCATACACAAAGGAAATCAAAATTGCAGCCTAGAGGAGATGGACATTTTCAAGTCTTGGAAAGAATCAATGATAACGCCCACAAGCTAGATTTGCCAAGCAACTATGGTAATGTTAGTGCGACTTTTAATGTTGTTGATTTATCTTCATTTGATGTTGGTGATTTGAGGATGAACCCTTTCGAGGAAGGAGGGAATAATGGAGATCGATGTGCTGGCCAACCGACTCAAGCTAATATTCCCAAATATTCTCAATCGGTGGTCCAATGACTAGGGCAAGGACAAAGAAAATGAAAGAGGCTTTACAAGGCTTAATCATGGAAGTGCATGACAAAGAGGTTGTTTTAGAAGATTCTAAGACTGTTCTAGAAGTTTCTAAAGCTTCACCAAGGATAATCACCTATCTTTATGTGCAAGACGATGTGCAAAACGATGTGCAAGGCTTAGATCTTGAAGAACAAAGCTTGGAATCCATGACATAAGACCAAGATGCATGGACATGATAAGAAAATGCCCAATCCGCATGCTAAGATGTATTGATGGGTTTGTTTTTGTCTTGTTTTATTTTACTTTGACTTTTTCTATGCTTAATTGTCAATAGTTGTAGTCTTTTAGAAGAATTTCTATTTCAAGACAGATTTGTTTTCCTAAATTAAAGGGATCCTCATTAGTTAGGAGTTTCCTTATAAGATAATGATGTTTACATGCCTATATAAAGGCTACAACTATGTAAAACAAGATATCATCAATAATATAGAGGAATTTTCAGCAAGCTTAGCTTTGCCTTATTGTGTTCTTAGTAGAATACAATATCTTGACTTATCAAGGGAGTGATCAACCTTTATGGCGTCTTTAAGATTGGATTCTTTAAGGACTTAGTTTCCTTAAGGTTCTAATCTGATCAACTACAACTTATTTTCTAGCTTCTGGATGCGCATAACAACTTGATTCAAAAATTCCTAGAGCAGGTCGTCTAGTGGGTTCTTATCATTAACTAAGTCTATGTAGGTCCAAAATTTGGATTAATCTATAGCAATGGCTGCCTTCATGCATGGTTTGCACACCTTCTGCTTCAACTACTCCCTTAAGAAAGTAACCCCTTGAGATATGACTAAGCTCCTCACCCGAGCCTAGAAGTACATATGTTGAAGAAGCACAGTCCCACTGAAGAGAGGCCAAGGAAGGATGGTACGACCTATAACGCTCCAATTGCGACAAGAGGTTGTACTAGTGTCGGAATCATAGACCTAGGAGCCCTGGTCTTCTGTAAGAATTTCACACCGCTCAATATGCCATAGACCGAGATCTTCACGTAAATTCACAACTAACACTTTGTCATATGACTTAGAAGGTTGAAGTCCGAGAACAACAAGAAAATCAATGACGAGTATTGCAAATTCTACAAAAACCATGACCACGATACCCAAAATTATAGGGACTGTTGCAGCCACATTGATGACCTCATTAGGCGGGCTACCTTAGTGTATATGTTGTTGATCACCGATCTCCTCGGCCTGAAAAGGCCTATGCTCGGTTAAATTAGGTGAAAAACCGACTTCCCAAGAATTCCAAGATGAACACCAAACGCCCTATGACATTGCACTACTGATTTCAGTTAACATATCCAAGTATGTATGAAGTGTGTCAGTTTTAAACCTCGGCCAACATCATTTTAAGCATTCTAGAAGATGATGATCGGGCATGACCGTCTATACCCTGCCGTTACAATGCGGGAAGGGAATGGAGAGAGAGAGAGGTGTAAATTATAAGCACTAATCACCCCTTCAGGGCAATAAAGAGTTGTAACCAATCCTCCCGTGATGAGAAAGCCACTGAAAAGGGGTTGGCCGACCTCCGAAGTTTCAATCCCGGATCATAAAGATGTGGCCGTAGTTGCAAGTCTTTTCAATAGTCAACGAAAAAGATAGATATCATGAACTGTCACGGAAGAAAGAACGTAAATCGAACGCCTATTATCGTCCGATCGGCGGCCATTTAGTCTTTCACTATTGAAAGGAGAAAGTCTTCCAGAGAGGACATTAAATGTTGTCACCAAAATGGTGGGTCTGATGCCACTGCAACTAGTGCTTCTCCCAATGAAATGATATAGCTGAATGCGATATTGACCCATATGACACTGGGTAAGTTGAATTTCAGAGGACAATTTTATGGTCCCATACTTTACAGTGAAATCAAATGGTAACACACGGCATATATTATCAACTTCAGGGCGGTATTTCAGGCAATAAGCACCACGGCGGCAGAAAGGAAAGTGCAGAAACCATGTTTAAGGAAACCAAATATCTATTTAAATATAAATATTCATAATCATAAGTCATAACCCAATACAAAGCTTCGCAATAGCAGTCTGTGAACATTTTCAGGGGCAGGATCAAGTTGGGTTCTCGCCATTCTTTTGTAAGCCATTTCAAATGGCGACAAGAACAAATCCTACAACTGAATTTTTTTTTTTTTTTTTTTTTTGAGTGCCAAGAAGAAACAAGTCTCTAAAAGAGTCTTAATAGCCAAGATGGCAGGTAGAGGTTTTCATCTGATCAGCACAGACAAATGTGAAGATAAGTCCTTTTAGAATTTACAATTCAGAGACTGGGCTCCTCACGCATCAAAAGGAAGCACCAAAAGCAACCTGGGTATACGCTTGAGTACTGTTTATAGATACCAGATTGAACTCTCTGTCTTCGACATCGTCTCTACTGTTCCTCTTGGCAAGACCTCCCCAAAGTCAACTGATGGCATGTTGAAAGGAGACCCAAATCTGAAGTCAGAGGGAATGTCATCGTGATTTGTTTCATATGCTGGCGGATCAAACACCTTATATTGATCAAATTGGATTTCTTCTCGGGGGAACATCTGATGATTCATAGGCATGTTGTTTTCTTCAAACATGTTACCCCCTACTGCGGACCCTTGGCCATAGAAGTTCTCCTCCAGTTGAACTTTGGGCTGCGGCTCAGAATTCTGACCATCCATGGCAGCAACATTTCCAGGATTAGAGCACTTATTCCTCTGAAGATTGCTATCATAAAATGACATAAGCTCGCTGATAGTCTTTTGTCCATCTTCTGGCAGCCCAAGTCCTGACAGGCTGAAAGTCGATTGGGTTGGGTTCAGTGGTGGAGCAGCTCGCTTGGGTTGTCCGAATGGCATAGAGAAGACTGCTGGTTTATCTTCAGTAATCTCAAAGTTTGAGATTCCAAACCCTGTACGGACGCTTCCATAGGGGCTATTTACCTGCTGATTGTTCCTTGAACTCCTGTCAGGTTTACCGAGGCGATAATCACTGTAAGGACACCTAAGATACTCACGGTTGTATATCTTGTGATCCACCGTTGCCACGGGTTCATCAGTTGGCTTCCTCTTCCTGCTGAATTCTGTGTTGCTAATTTCACCCTTTATTGGAGCAGGCAGGGGAATCATAAGTCTGTCCTTGGCTGACCCCATCCCAAGATTGAACAGATTTACATCGTGAGGCTTGCACTCCTGTACTTCAACATTTGGATCATTCTCAACCCCTTCAACATCATACTCATTGCTGTCGCTAATGGTGAAAGATCCACTCCCCGCTGTTGATGACACAGGAGGGCATCTCTCAGGGTGGAGCTTCCTGGACAACGCCTCTTCCTGGTTAATGATGGCAAGCCAAGTCGCACTCTCCTTCGCTGTCATCTTGTCCTGCAAGCACTTGGACTGCCTGACGAGCTTGCGGATCTTGGCAATGTCGGGTGACATGTGTTTGATGACAGCAGTCAAGACACTAACCTTCCATGCCTTCTTCAGATCATGGGGTTTCTTGTATGGCGGAGGACCTTGATCCTTGGGCAAGCCCAACTGCGGCCACCATTCCTCATCCCCTGTGGGCCACCACGGTGGAGCAACACCCTTCTCCAACGGGAACCGCCGTTGGGGAGGGTCACAGTGCTGCATGAGAGCTGATAAGAGCGAACCTAGAGTGGTGTCCTGAAGCTCTTGCAGGGTGTGGGGAGTGGATGATACTGCATTACAGTCTTCGTTCTTACCAGGTATTGAATGATCAGCCTGATACTTGGCAATTGCAGCAGGGCCGTTGCGATCAAACCTGACTTTCTCCTTCCACCAGGCGCGAAGATTGTCGGAGGCTCCGCTCACAGGCTTCCCCTTCTCGGGAATGATGCCATAAACGAAGCCTTGAGCTTTACAGACTTCCATCATCTTCAGCATGTACTTCAGGATCCCATCTTGAGCACGGGACATCTTCTTCCTCCGCGCCTGCTCTTGGGACTGGCGCTGCTTTGCAGTATCGACACCATCCTTGCTCTTGTTCTGTTCTTTAAGCTTCCTCAGAAGCATCCGATCCCTCCACATCCTTCTCTCCAGTTCGTCTACATCCATCTCTTCGTCAGTATAATCTTCCTCCACAGTGGCCTCCGGTTCAGTTTCCGGCACCGGATCTCCTTCTCCTGTCGTTACCGACGGGGCAAGGAAATCGAGATTCCCACAAAAACCCATTTCCTCAAACATCCCCATCATCACTGTTGCGTACCTACAATCAACTCCAGGCAACAAGCGAACTTCTGTTTCAAATCGACCCCCTTAAATCTAATTCAAGTTCTTCTCCGCCTGCGCTTCCGTCTCTCCTTTTTCTCGGAAATTAGTAGAATTCTACAGCTTTCTGCTGAAGGAGAACTAAATTCAAGTCGACAATAAATAGTGATCTCCACCCTGAAAATAAAAACGAACAGATTCGTAAACAAAAAAAATCAGAAAAGATCCCACCTTTTCCAAACCAAAAAAAAAAAAAAAAAGAAAGAAAGAAAAACAGAATCAACTAAGAAATTCATCAGGAAAGGAAGAAGAAAAAAACGAAATTTCTTCTCAACTATGCACAATAAAACTAAAACAGAGAAAAAAAAACTATCTGAATAAAGGCTTCAAAGAAAAGAGTAAACTAGAACAAAGAAAAACATGGAAATAAACATCGCAAATTCATTAACAGCACATACAATACAGGGCCCGAATAAGGGAGGTCAAGGAATTTCTGCAGTCAAAACAAGAAGATAACTACCGTAATAGAACAAGTAAAAATCGGAGATAAAGACCTAAGAAGTTGCATATAACAGATCATTCATCAGAAATCAGATCTTGTCTGAAAAGAGATGGGTTATAGAATAAATCTCTGAAGAGAGATTTTTTACAGGTAAACAGCGTAGATGACATATAACTGTTGACAAAAAACGGAACAGTATATAAAATTGAACCGCACTGGTTCCGGCAACTTGGGTAATCACCGTAATCAAGGAACGCAAGAATTGCAAAAAAAATTAAACGCGAAAAAAAAAATTCCTACAGTAATCCCTCTTTAGCCATCTTTAGACCAGAAAACCTAAAGCAGGAAGCGCCGACAAAGAAAGAAAAGAAAAAAAAAAAGAAGGAAAAAGAAAAAAATAGCATAGGAAAAATGAAAAACAAAAACGAAAACTGGCTGACTTCACTGAAATCCGAAAATCCTTCAAAAGACAAACTGACACGCGTCTCCAGAAAGCCCCGCCGGATCTGAGAGCAGAATCGCCGGTTCTGAAGCCAATTTTCCGGGAAAAAGAAAAGAAATTGGCAAGAAAGGAAAACAGAATTGACCAAAATTATATACGGAAAGCCCTTGAAACAATAAAGAGAATTTAAGCACCAAAAACTCATCATTTCTACCGAAAGAAAAACAGTAACCTCTGAAATTAAAATCCATCACCATAAAACCGATTGATAATTAAGACAAAACTAAACCCCAAACATCAATCAGGGAAGTAAACAACAAATATCCAGAAGAAAAACAACGCAAAAAGAACTCAAACAACATTAGAGATGACAGCTTGGAGGAAAATCCTACCAGGATTACTGTTAGCTGTTAGTATCCGCCATGGGAAGCTCAACTCGAAGCTCTGCAGCAGAGAAAGCGAGAAGAAAGACGACGAGAAAGAAAAATAAAAAAAAAAAGGTTGGAGGTCCTCGACTTCTTACCTGCTTCTATCTATATGCGTGAAACGAAATAGCGCCGGTGGTAAAGCATAGAAATGTAACCATGGTTTAGTTAACCTTAACCGCGGTTAGGAGGAAAGATAGCTTTTATTATTTAAGATATAATATGAAGATAAATGTAGAAGGATGACAATGACGAGGTGAGGATCAAAGAAGGAGAACAGCGTCGGCAACGCGGAGCAGCGTAGGACTTAAAAAGGAGCAATTCCCACCAATTCTACATACGAGGCTAGCTTCCCCGAAGGGACCCACTTGCACAAAAGCAACTATCAATACACCAAGCACATCTTGGTTTGGGTTTTGATACCCGAAAAACTTTTGACCAATCAATTGTTATCATTACATGGTAACTAATGATCATGATCAGGTGTATTTATTAAAATTCACCGGTGGATTTTGATTGGTCAACTCTTTCGGTATTATATCTTTTTGTCGTCATAGATTTTTCCTTTTTGTTTTTTTGGTAATTTCAATTAAAAAAAAGGTAAATTTTTTAATTACTTTTTATAATTAATTAAATTCTTCTTATTGTTAATATCTATTGACGAAAAGATTGAAAAGACTATTTTATCTATCATTAAAATATAAAACTTTTTATGTCTTATTTCTTTTGTATTCCATTACTGTGCCACCGTGTTCAACACCAACAGATCCGCCAACACCACCTCCCTTCTGTGTTCCACTGCCTTTGTCTCGTTTATCAATTTGAACAAAACTACCATATCCAGATTGACGGTACTATGTTAGCTAGAAAGTCCATGGCTAGAAGTTGAGGCCAAGTTCAAGATCATCAGCATGCATGGGAGAAATTTTATCATGTACCTTTGATTTATCAATAGAGAGAAGTGGAGGAATTACCAAGTTTAAAGAAAACGGATAACCCAAAACTTTTCCCCTAAGATGTGGACAAAGTTATTTATTTTTTAAGGATTTTCCCCTTTAATTCTATCAGGCAAGAATCCCAGATGGAATACTCAATGTTGTAACTGAATTTGGGCACACAGATGGTGCATTAGTTTTCACATGGGCATTGATAAGGTTAGGTATATTTTTGACATCGATGCTGCAGTTGTAGTACAATTTTCGATGGTGCTTATGCAGTTGATTATGCAGGCTGCAGCAACAAGCAATTTGAATATCATTTTATTTGAATTGGGTGGGAAATCACCTCTCATAATCTTCGATGATGCTTATTTCCATCTTATTTTGTCTCTTAGTTGGAATTAACCTTGTTATCTTCTATGAATGCTTCATTATCAAACATTTAAACTTTCTCTCTCTCTCTCTGTCTAAAGTGAATCAGTTATTGTTGATAAGGAATCTCGATTGATAAATTCAGTAACTATATCAAAAAATTAAAAAGAGGAAAGCTAGAATTTTTTACTTTGTTTTCTACAAAATTATTGTTGTGCCGGTCTTAAGAAACACTCAAGTCCCTAGAACAGCTCGGGTGTGTCCTATAAGGAGGAAAACGAGGTCAAAGGGCCCGAGGTGATATCCTGGGCTTTATCTCCGATGGTCAAGACAGATATGCCGAGTTGTCCAAAGGGTGGTTGGGAATTCAATGAGTCATAAAGTATGCATTGAATGCTAAGCTGCCCCTTATATAGGATTCTGGATGCCTGTCAGAGTATGTATGTGTCGGATAGAGGTAGGATACCTATCGTAACTTAAGACACCTGGAGCTTGCTTTGCCTTAGTAGAGCTCGGGTAGGACACCTGGGGCTCTATCAAGACACCTATTACTCGAGCTCAGCCACATAGTGCTTGGTTCGAACATCTGTGGCTTGATTCAGGCCAACTAGTATTTGGTCGAGGCACCTAGAACCTAGCCCGAACACTTGGAGCCTAATCAGGGCTACCTATTAAGCCACCTATAGCATGCATTAGCCACTTGGTGCGTAGCTGTGACATGCTATGGTGATATGTCCTCCATGTTTCCAATGTATAAAGTGGGCCCAAAACTGGCTACTTGGCAGGATTACCTTACATTTTGACAGTCTTGTTGCATGTGCCGCCAGGTGGTCGCTTAATGGACAAGTGTCAAAGTGTAGAGCTCTCCTAGATTAGAGCTCGTCTCAACAGGGAGGTCTCCTCTCAGAGGTCAGTAATGCCTATGAGCATGAATTGAGTGAGAAGCCCAAGGTGGTTTTATATTTCGCCAAGGTGACTCTTATCCTTTGACAATCTCTGAGTTGAAGGCAAGATTGCAAGTCCACCTAAACGTGCTCTGTGTTCAATAGTTCAGAGGTCAGATTTACTCTCATCATTTGTCCCCCACTTCCGAGGCTGAGGTGACTAAGCTCAGGTGAAGGAAGTACCTGACTATGCCACTTGTTTGGGTGTTAAATCTTTTTTGACCCCTACCTTCTTGTTTGGTGACATGTTCAGGGGAGCTCTATGAAGTGTTCCTGGCATGCATGGACTTGAAATAGTGTCGGTTAACTATTCTCAGACTTCAAAAATGTGCTAAACTAATTTAGAACCTCGAGAATCCAACGGTCATGAATCTGAGCCGTTGAGACCGTTCGATTGCAGCTGTTCAACATCCACCCCTTTCGGCTATAAATAGAGGCCCCCAGGGGGACCATTTGCACATTCATCCTTGGAGTGATTCTGTTGAGGTCGGAGAGCTCACCCTCTAAAGCTTGGTTCCAGTTCGCTCATTTTCGTCCCCAGTTTGTCCCGGGTGAGTCCACTCTTCCCGAGTTCTTTCTTCCATTCTCTTAGTATTTCGATGTTGAGTCCCATGGCAGAAGATTTTTCCGAGATGAAGAGAGTCGAACAAGCGTACAGGGAGGTTGCGGAGTCGGCCTCTCATGTTCGCAGAGATTCGGGGAAGCTCACCTCGGTTCCCAATGAGCACATCTCTATCCCAAACTTGCTTGTCATCAGTCCTTCCAAGCTCTTTACTCCTTCTCAGTCTACCTTGGCTAACCTGTAAAGGATCTGGCTTCTTTATAGGGTCCCCAACAAGTCCCAGTTCAAACTCCCTACTCCCAATGAGGCCCCTTGGCACCATAGTGACAATGAAGTCTGCGTGTTCGAGCAACACTTTGTTGCGGGGTTAAGGTTCCCCTTACCTCGTATAGTCACCAATGTCTTATATGTCTTCCTTGTCACTTTGGGGCAGCTCACCCTAAATGCCATTAGAATAATTATTGGTGTCGTCTTGGCTTGTCATACACATGGCATCCCCATCGACATTCGAGCTTTCATTGCTTTGTGTGCTATCAAGCACACTCCTGGGGACGAAAAGTTTTTCTACTTCGCCAGTATGAAATTCCTTAAAGGTCTTCCCAGCAAGGTTTCAGACTAGAAGTTGATATACTTCTTTGTTGTCCATGACAGCCCTTGGCACTTCATTAATCAGTGGGGCACATTTGTCACCAACCCTAAGGGCCAATTCTTATCCTCGGAGGTACATAATCAATTGCGAGAGCCTGTGCATTTCGAGTTGAAGATAGATGATTACATGACCGAGGACACTCTCCTACGAGTTGGCCTAAGCCAAGGACACCAAGGTTGTTAGAACTTAGTTTCTATCGCTTTTCTCTTGCTTTCTCCTTTCTGAGTTGTTTTCAATACTGATCCCTTTCTTCTCTCTTTTTTTATAGATCCAGGTTCGGATATGGATCAACTTGTTAGTAGACTAATAGCTCTGAAGAGGTTGAGGCCGAAGAAGAGGAAGACCACAGAGGGTGAGTCATCCCAAGCTGTCATCGTTTGACCTACCACTAGCTCGGCTGAGGTCATTACTTTGGAGGATGAAGTTCCCCCAGCTTCTACAGTTGAGGTGCGGGCTCAGTGAGAGGGAACCCCGACACGACTTCTTTCTGAGGTTCTTCCGAGCTCCACCGTTCAGCCTCCCACATTGACTCCAGCAATAAAGGGCTCCTCTTCATTGCCCCCCTCCCCCAGTGCATGCCTATTTGGAATCCAGGCTGGACAGTTCACAATGGTGGCTTTGTGAGGGACCATTTAGTCGCCTGCGAGCTAAGTAGGGGCGTTGTGTTGCCAATGTCTTGGGAGGAGATGGAGGACCTCCCCTTTGATGTTCTAGAGACTCATCTTTTCTCCCACATCGTGAAGGTAAGTTCTACTTTTATCCTCTTTTTATGTTGATTCAGTTGGGTTTCTAACTTAACTTTTCTTTTTCAGGCCAATACCATGGCACAGGGGGTCTACGCCCAAGCTCGCAGTCAACAAGCCCGAGTTGATAATCTGACTCGGATTGAGGAAGGCTACTTGTGCCAAATCAATAGCTTGGCAATGAAGAAGGCCTAGGTCGAATCCGGCTTCGCTGCTGCAAAGGCCGAGTTTAAGCATGAGGTCTCTAGTCTCCAACCTACTGTCGCCGAGCTAACGTAGAAGCTAGAGGATTCTAACTCGTAGTGCCAAAAGTCACTCCAAACTCAATGCCAACGTGGAGAGAGAGGAGGCTTTGAAGGCAAAGCTCGCGGAGCATGAGGAGGAATTTAAGGCTAAGCTATAGGTGGCTGGTGAGAAGGTAGTTGCTACTTTCAAGATCTCTCGAGAGTTTGATGCTGAGAAGCTTAACTTCGCCATCCCTTTTGTTAGAAAGGATTGGTTTTAGACTCTACAAACTCCTCTCAGCCACTATACCTGACCACTCGAATTGTGAGTTGAAAGTGGAGCATACGCCTAAGGAGCTCATCTTGGCAGTTGATGTGGAAAGTGAGCCTAAGGAGGAGGAAGATGGAGCCCGACCAACAGTTGGTAATCTCGGGTCTACCACTCCTAGTGACTAGGCATCTGGTGACCAGGCCTCCCAGTGATCTACTTTTCTTGTCTTCTAGATGTACTCTTGAGCTATTGAGCTCTGTATGAATTGAAAGAACTTTATTGTTTTTGCTCTTTGCTCTTTCTTTTTCTTTTTTTTTTCTTGTATAGAACTTTCCAGATTAGTAATGGAAGTGTATATTTTTTCCATATCTGTGGTTTCAACCGAGTTATTGATTTGATCCATT